AGCATATTTTCATGTTTTAAAGGAAAACAAATGTTATTAAGTATACTTTGGGTGACCAAAAAAATCTCGTAAATTAATTTTAATATCATGATTTCATGCTTTAAACGATTTTATAATTATTTCATAAATCATTCTTTTGACGTCATTTTAATGAAAATCTTCAAATACTACGACTGAACAACAACTAAATACATAAACAGTAAAAACATTATAAAAAAAAATAACTTAATGATAATGGACGATGCATTTTATTGTTATAAATCATTACATTTTGTCATATCAAATATATAATGTTTATATTTGTTGGAGAAATGAATCATACATGTAGTTACAGAAAAAGATGAACGATGTATTAAAAGATGTTAATATGACACTACTACTTAAACGCATGCCGCATGCTTAGTGTCCAATCCTTTTACAGTTAGACACTACACTATCCTTTCATACAGGTAATTACATTCAAGACACTGTATGATGTATAGTTCGTAAAACCCATCGGGACAGAATTGTCTTAATGTTCGCCTTCTGCTTTGCTTCGTCCAGCCCTTGTATGTGATACCCTTGCTACTCTGTCTTTCTTTAAGGCTTTGAGTACTTATGTTATTATCTCTGGGTTTTATTTTTATTGATGAGTACATGATCATTTTTGTGTTTTTACTTATTTCACCTATTGTAACCATAACAACCGTTAAAATTTCACTTCACAGGAATTCATTTATTTTATACTATCTGGCCGAAAAGCAACATGTTGTGGCTAAAAGTGAAGTTTGATGCAGAAACCAATTAAAACTCCCAAGTAAGGCTTATGATGCCAGTGATTTCTCGAATGTCTCGGACAGAGGAATCTCATCTCAAAAAAGTATCATACCTTGTGATTATCTCTTTACTTTATACATGTATGTTGTATAATTGTTCATTAAAAAACTTTTGAATACACGACGTTCTTTATCACGATCGATTCCTAGGTGAAAATTACAAAGCTCAATTTCGCTTTATGATAAGAGACAATGCAAATATAAATAAAATAATTCATGCGTCACATCACTTACGTATGGTGGCTGATTTGTGTCATTTACGTTTTCGCCCCGCGACCCCGCCAAACGAAAAATCAAAAATTAACAGTCAAGTTAAAATTTCGGGGGCGCAGAGCGAAAACTCGCTAATTAGCGAGGGCGCGGGCGATGTTTAATAAATAAATCTTCGTCCCGCGGGGGCGCGGAGGGGGATTTAAGAAATAAAACGGCGGGGTCGCGGGACGAAAACACGCTAATTAGCGAGGGCGCGAGGCGAAGTTTAATAAATAAAACTTCACCGCGCGCCCCCGCTAATAAACGTGTTTTCCCCAAGGACCCCGCCAAGCGAATAATCGGTAATTAACAAGTTAGAATGGCGGGGGCACGAAGCGAAAACATGATTATTATCGAGTGCGCTAATTAGAGTGTTTTCGCTCCGCGCCCCGCCGTTTTATTTCTTAAATTTCGTCCCGCGCCCCCGCGGGTCGAAGTTTTATTTATTAAACTTCGCCCCGTGCCCCCGCTAATAAGCGTGTTTTCGTCCCGCGACCCCGCCGTTTTAACTTGTTAATTTTCGACTTTTCGCTTGGCGGGGTCGCGGGGTGAAAACACGAATGGCACAAATCAGCCACCATAATTACGGCGTACTGAAATGCTTTGGATTAAATGAAAATCTATCAGAGATGTCTTTTGACATCCAAGGTTTTTGTAAAAAATGCTTGATAAGCCAAATCGCATATAGGCCCGGTTACACAAAGCTTGCGACTGCGATGCGATCGAGTTGCGATGGTAAAAAAGCAACAATCGCAGCAAAGTTGCAAAGGTCGCCGAAAGGTTTCAATGGAAGCGCCGACAAGTTGCAAGACAAAATCAGTCGCCGCCAGTCTTTTGAACATGCTCAAAAATCTGGCTGCGATTATTTAGTCGCAACGAGGTCGCAACACGTTCGCAACTGCATCGCAGAATGGTTGCCGACTTTTCGGCTATCAAATCGGCGACTTAACAGCGTAGATGCGGCGAATTCTTTGCGAACTTGCTGCAACTTATCGGCTTTCATTCGGCAATTACAGAACACAGTTCTGAGCATGCGCAGACCAATCCTTCTGCATTAGCTCCGCCTCGGTTTATCGATTTTAACAGGTTAATTTTACATAGGTTGCTTCAGTAGTTCATTAAGCTTTCGAATCTCCCTGCTTTGGTCTTCGACTGAGCCAGGGCTTAATCCAATATTGACGGCGCCTTTTTCTTAACAATCTTCTATATGTCATCATTGCATATATGACTGCGATCATATTTGTATTCCATAAATGGGCATAAATTTGTTTCAACTGAAACGTCATCAGTCGCAATGAAGTCGCATCGCAGTCGCATCTCTGTGTATCCGTAGCTTATTTACCTTTTACCGACAGGTTCAGTGTACAATTTACACTCAGGTGGACACATTCCTTGTTTGTCAGACCGTTGATGTCGTCATATAAGTGATGTCTTGTTTAGTCCGCCAACATGCTGGTAGTTAAATAAGGAAAAGACTTATACAGCGCTACAAGAGTTAACAGATATACAAGCTTGGATATACAATAACTTTGTCAAAGTATTATTAGATAAAATTAGGTAACAAGAAGCCTGATTTATTTTTGTGGAAAAATACCGAAATAAAACAGGTTATATATGTATGTGTTTAAATCTGAAATTTGAAATTCATCAATACATACACATTTTTGTATATTTAATCACGATAGGCGGCAATATTTTGCAAAATATATGATATATCAATACAGGTATTATCTTATAGGATATGATATGTTTAGATATGATAAGATACGATATGATATGAACGATATGATATATGATATCATTCGATATGATATGATATGATGCTATATGATGTGATATTATATGAAATGATGTTTATGATATAAGATATGTAATGATATGATATGAATGATATGATACGATATGATTTGATATTATATGACACCAATATAACATATAGAGGATATTGAATGAGTGTAGTTTAATACTAAATTTATTGAACGAGTTGAATAAAATCATATTATGCGAGCCTCTGGCGAGCATAATATTGTTTTATTCAACGAGTATTTAGTATTGAATCTACACGAATATAATATTCTATTTATCACATATATAAACTAAGAATAGTAAACTGTTAAAATGAGTAATTTTTCAATGACGCCCCCATAGTGTAACGCTAACATAAGCGCTTTAACGCTATGTTTCTATATAGCGCAAATGACGTCACGCCAGAGGCTCGCATAATATGATCTTATTCAACTCGTTCAATAAATTTAGTATTAAACTACACTCAGTTAATATCCTCTATTTATGTTATGATATGATTCGATATGATATAATATGATGTTATATGATATGTTATATGACATGAACGATATGATACGATATAATTTAATATGATATGATTCGATATTGCACGATGTGATGTGAAATGATATGATTCGATATGATACATGTATGATATGATACGATATGATTCGATTTGATTTAATATTATTCGATATGATTTGATGTAATATGATAAGATATGACAAAAAATTACAGAATGTTTGAAGAATTTCCAAAAAAAATATACTTGACTACAATGACTAGTAAGTAACAAATCAGACGACACCCACACGAAGAGTATGTGGAAGAATAAACGAGTAGAGTTAATTAAAGAAAACCAACTACAAACAAACAAAAAATATAGAGAGGTTGATATCGCCAATAGAATGTCCATCTCAAAATCCGTGTAACTTTTGTTTTTGTAGTTTTTGTTTTTGTTTTTGCGCAGTTCACTATAAATAATTATAATAAATGAAAAGCCATGTATCAGTATATGGAGACAGAGCGTTGTTTTGTAAACTTTGACACAATCATCCATCACATATGAGCCGCGTCACGACAAAACCAACATAATGGGTTTGCGACCAGCATGGATCCAGACCAGCCTGCGTATCCGCGCAGTCTGATCAGGATCCATGCTGTTCGCTTACAAACCCTATTACAAGTAGAGAAACTGATAGCGAACAGCATGGATCCTGATCAGACTGCGCGGATGCGCAGGCTGGTCTGGATCCATGCTGGTCGCAAATGCACTATGTTGGTTTTGTCGTGACACGGCTCATATTATTCCAATAAGAGCAGTATTGTCTTAATTCATTCATTTACATCACTCGTTTACGACATTGTCGTAGTTCATTCATTTACGACATTAGCTGAGTGAGGTACACCGAAACATGTAACGTTTCGAAGATTTCCAGTGTTCGCCACGGCTTCTAAGAAATCATGTGATAACCGCAACCACCGTACCAGGGTTTTAATAGTCGTGTCATGCAGACAAAAATAGAACTGTTTTCCCTTCACGTAACGTTTCAGAAAACAATTACTCGAAAAGCTTTACAAAACTACATGCTTTGGGTATGCATCGGCATGATGCTATGTAAACTTTTACCTTGACTTAAAATGGTCAAAGACATCGGGCTTTGTTATAAGATCGTAAATTTAGTTGTATCTTTGAAAATTACTCTCTAAATTTGCAATATTTTGTGTAACTGTATATTTTTACCACTAACATCCGCATAAGTAAAACTGTATATAACTAGATATATTTTGAGCGGCAGAAATTTCTTTCACCTTACAGTATTTAGTTTTGTTGGTATTTCAGTTTGAAAGTAAAACTGTCTTAAAATGGTCATCACCTTTTATTACATTTTGCAGGTATTATTTCCCTGCATTGATAGCATATAATCATCATTACATCGTTTTTCAAAAATCATTTCCTTTTCAATATTTTATATCTTAAATATGCGCATTTACCGCACTGATACATCTTACTTTTTACGCGAGAAAAAAAAATGCAACACTATCGTACAGAATATAAATTTGTTTATTTGTGCACAATTGCATTTACAAGTGTTCATCAAAATATTGTACAATGCCGTAAATTCGTGTTGAGTATACAAAATGTTTACGCAACGTTGCCCTCGTGAAAACCTTATGATATATTGACTTTAGCGTCGCGTTCTTAATATAACGCGTGCAAACGCCATAACGTACATTTTTGTAAAGCGTAAAACGTTGACATATGCCGGTGTACAACTGAGTATAACTTAAGTCATTTGTCCAAGTTTAAACAAGAGTATGGACATATGTGTTTGTTACATATTTGAATGAGATCATATGCCTTAAGCCCTTAGAGTTTTTTGTTTCGTGTCTGCATTTTCTCTATTCGGCGGAGTTAGCCAAGAAGGTGTTTTTATTCGTGTTCTGTTTTGTGTGTTTATCAAGCGCTTCATTTCTGGATGTATTCTTTTAACGACTAATGGATAATAGCGACACGTAACGTGTATTTCTGAGTGGCTTTCTTCTTATTTAATGATGTTCTTGAAATCCAGAATGCTTTATTTCATAATTCCGGCGATACTTATTGCCAATTGCAGGACAATACTAGCAGCAGGTTTGTAATACTTTTTTTGCCTTTTCTTTCTTCTAACAAAGTCTATGTTTTTGTATCTGGATTCATCACTTTTTATATTAATAAATATTATTGATATTATAGTGGTATTTATATTAATAACCATTATTTAGAATAAATTTTCGTCATCCGCAACAAGTCATTCTCACGGGAGTAGTCAAATAATTAGCAACAAACATAAGCGCGTTGCGTTCGAATACATTAAATGTTTATTATCATAACAAGAATATGGGTGTTTCAATTTCGTAACGCAATTATTTAACAGTGCAATGCTTATTCGATTTATTTATAGAATGCTATCTTAAATCTGTCACTGAACGGTATTTTCGTGTGACATTTATTATGTTAAAAAAAATACGTTATTTGATTCAAACTTCCTCACTCAGACTAAATAGAAAATTATTCATACAGTTCAAAGATAATTTCATACCATTCATACGAAAGGACTTGCCAGTAAATTGGTAATTAGATTTACTAGTGTGTTTTCTATAATTCTAAGGTTTACTCAAGTTATTCAAAAGTTTAAGCTCCCAAAATGATTTTTAAATTATTTAATGTTGCGCGGTTGAAACGGTTTCCGTTTTTGAGGTATAAACAAAGAAATAAAACTGAAATATAATTGAACGAAAGCGATCAAAAGGTACATCCGACAGACATCTTTAGTGAAGTATTGTTGACTGATCGAATTTAAATCATCATAGGTAAAAGAGAATATTATTTTGGTTGCTGCAAAAAGAATGTATATAATTGGGCCTTTAAGATTTAACCCAAAACCCGTTATTTTTTCATAGTTTTATCGGCAACGTCTGTCATAATTATATCAACGCGATATTTTTCTTCTTTTTTATATTTATATTCATACTATTCCTCGTTAAAGAAAATGTATAAATCAATTTTGAGAACCCGCGTACTTAATTGCCTTTCACTCGGTCATTAATAATATTTTTAAAGAACAATGGTTTTTAAATTTTTTGACGTCAAAATGTTTTTTGATTAATGTATTTATTTATTTTAACATCAACGATCAACAATGCATCGTGGTGACTGTCATTTAAACAGTTAAACACGTCTTCGCTTGTCAAATATTTCATTAATTATTATATTGATAAAAATCAGCCTTTTTGTGATTTATCAAAGTTTATAATCATACGTCAAATTTTAGTAAACAGGGGGATTGAATAAATAAATTACTGTTTATTTTGGTTATTAAATATCATTATAATAAATTATACCGTATCGTATATATGTTAATTGACAAATTATGCGGGGTGGGGGACTTCAATCAGGGGTTATGTTTCTTTTCTTTCGTTTGATTTTAGGTATCATGACAAACAACGACTGATAGTTTTGTATATTTGCTAGATTAAGCCGTTACTGTATGATGTGTACAGATAATAACTAATGCTAATTTAGTGAATAAATCTGTCATGACAGGCAGTGAATGCGAATGTAAAACGGACATTCTCTCTAAAGTAGATAATAAATTGTTTACTACTCATCAAAAACGTCCTTTTTCACTTAAGGCTTCTCGTATGATAATATCCTTAAACTTTATCTTCGTCTGATATACTTATATATCATATATATCGCTTTTACAATTACACATGTTTTTATGCTCAATATACTTGTATTTTTGGTATAATTCGGTATTCCCAAATCCAGAAATTTAAGCAAAAATGAATCAAATGCGAATATATTAGAGCATGGTATGAATGAACGAGAAGAGCTGTCAAGATAAGTTTAAAACAAAAACAAAAGTTTCATGATAATCGTGATAGATATATTCATATTCATTTTTGTTTTATTGTTGTTTTTGTTGTTATTGTTGTTGTTTTTGTTGGGTTTTTTTTCGTGGGGGGATCTTTTTCTTGTGTGGGAGTTGTTTTTTTTAACCAAGTCAAGGTCTTAACTAAATAAGCTTTTTTCTTTCCCTTCATCATGACGCACACACATAACTCGAAAACAACGAAAAACGTTAGTGAAAAGTCGAAATAACGATACCACAATGGTAGGAAGTCAAAGGTACGATGATGAAAACACGAAATTACGATGAAAAAAGACGAAAGAACGATGGTGTAAAGTCGAAATAACGAAACCACGATGGTGAAAGAACGGAAGTTTGATGGTGAAAACATGATGTGATATCGATCTTTCGCCATAAAGGTTTCGTTATTTCGACTTTCAACACCTTTTTTCAAACGAATTGCATTGAATGTCTTTAACGATGCTTGATACATATATGTGAAGTTTTTAAATATTCTTTTAAGAATGCATATTTACGGGCTGTTTGCACCCGATGGGAGGTCTGATACGTTGTTGATTTTATTTTTTAGCATCTTAGTATATTCTGTGCACGTGTTGTCCATGTATGTGGTATGACGAACAAGCGAAATGGCTCCGATTAGTTACCATAATATATATGTCAAATAACGGGGCCTGTTTAATATAGTCTGTTTCAATCAGTAAGCGCTGACGCCTGTCTGAATCACATATCATAAATCATAGCCAAATAATATACATACCTTTAAATGGGTGCATTTTTTTCGTTTAATCATTTCCCTAAGACTTACTCTAGGTCTTTATTATTACGACGTATAGACCCATATACCAACCTTATAACGAGATAGCTCTTATCCCCATATTGAGTTATATCAGATAGTCATTTTACAGATATATGTATTAAATATAGTTCTGTGTTTATAAATTTGCCCCCTGCTTCGAATTTAGAACAGTCCATTTGAAGTTTTAAGTTTGAAGTTGGGCTTTCTTTAGGGGTTCTTATTTCACTCTATTTTAGGAATGTCATTATCACTATAGAAAAAGTAAGCTGCAATAAGTATATAGAGCCTGGTCAGACTGCACGGCCCGGGTTCATCATTGATGGCAAAGGTTTGTCACTTTCGTTCCCTGCAGGTTACGGGCTCATTTAAGCATATATGATGCAGAGCAATCTTCTTTCAGACTTTAGACTCATTTTGTATAAATACAGTCTGTAGATAAAAAATTCTAGGCCACATCGTCTTTTAGATTCACAATACAATGAATTTCGTAGGGCGACCCCTTGTGTCTGCGAAATTATATCGCAGTTATGTGTGAGAGATTTAAATCAATATCTTGTCATATAACTTTTAAATCATCAGTTTCCTTATGTTACAACAACAATAATGAATCAAAAGTCATAGATATAAGCAAATATATTATTTCATAAAATTTTGTTCCGTACAAAAATTTCTCTTCCATACTAAAAGTTGTATTTTTACCACACTTAAAGGCCTTGGCAAAAAAAATATCCCTGAAACCTTGAACCTTGCTCCAAAACAAAATTTAGTATTCCAATACCGCAACATCTCTGAATATCTAATGACCATCTATAATAATTAAGCATGCAAAGTTTTATGACGTCGGAAATTTGTGTGTTATATTGCTAATTGGGTCTTTAATTTGCCCAGAGACAATTATTCAAACTAACTTACCTATAAAAACCGCACTTTACATCCGTGTTTATACTAGATCATTGTTTCAATATATCTTCATTGAATCACGCTCACCTTTGCATTTTTATTTCATTTTTAATAAAGAACAATAAGGTTGTTTTATTCAACAGAGAAGAATGTTAGGTTCAAAGATAAAAAACAGCTGCGAGGGGTTTATGACAAAGCAGAAAAAAGAAATATAACGACGGTTCTTCCTCGAAGAGAAGAAATTATACTCAAGGGAGATTTTAATTACGGCAATCAAACAGTGGTAAATTAGTATAAGGCCCTATTTACAATCCAAGGGTCAAGATCGATTGCTTTCTTTTTTATTTTCTTATAAAGGAAAACGTGACATAAATACAAATGTAACGTGACAAAATCACGAATATTTCAAAGAATGTACCAATAGGCTTCCGAAAGGTATATATTTATACAACAGTAGGAAAACCTTTTACATTTGAAAGTGATATGAACAGATCAAAGGTTTGTCAATTATTCTAATCATTGATCCAAGTGTTTTAGTCCGCCATTTTAGTTCAACAGGGAGAGCATAATCCAGCGGTTGCAAGGTCGATCCTCGGACCAGACGAAATTTATCCGTAAAGTTGATCTCTAATATCGCTGGTTAAGAGATTATATGAGCCGCGTCATGACAAAACCAACATAGTGCGTTTGCGACCAGCATGGATCCAGACCAGCCTGCGCATCCGCGCAGTCTGATCAGGATCCATGCTGTTCGCTTACTAACTCTATTACAAGTAGAGAAACTGATAGCGAACAGCATGGATCCTGATCTAATGGTTTTGTCATGACGCGGCTCATATGTGATTAGTAGTCTGTCACTTGCGGTGAAAATGTGATAGTTATCAAGAAAGCCGGTGAGCTGTATGGGGCCTAAATATGACCAAATCGTGCTAAAATAGGCGTAAAAACCACAAACAAACAAATGTCTACATTTCTCAGTAAATGATTGTTTTGCTTAGTTGAAACAATACAATTTGAAATTAAAATTAACTGTATTTTGCAAATGAATCAAATGGTTACATTCAATGTACTTTTATGTAGCAAGTTCCGATTTAAAACTCTGTTTACATCTATTGCAAAAGAGATATAAAAGTTCTCGACACATTATGACGAGGCGACGTGTTGATTAAAGTGTTTAGTACCCTATTATTCGTACAATAAAATATTTATATAATCTTGGGTCGCAATTATCTTGTGATGAATCGGGCACATCTATCATTTGACATACGACGATAAAAACCGTACTCAAGCCGTTACGTTCCAGAACGTAATCGATCAACATTCTACAAAACTAATTATTTCTACTTTAATATAATTTCGCATGTCTGCATTACTCTGATACTTCACGTAACAGTTTTCGAATTTAACAAAATAACATGATAAATCGATGGCTAATTGCTGTCAATTAATGTTGATTATGTTGTTAACGATAAAATTCTCCTTGATGTCCGTTGTACTATAATAAAATTGCACTATCAACTT